TTTTAATTGTACAATATTCGTTTCTCTATCAAGGTTAAAAAAATATTTGGAATTGTGTGCTTTTGTTTTAAATGATATTAAAAAAAATCACTCGGGTGGGACTCGAACCCACGACCTCCTGCTTTCTAGTGCAGATGTCTTACCGCTCGACCACCGAGCTAACGTTAGCTCGGTGGTCGAATGGTAAGACATCTGCACTAGAAAGCAGGAGGTCGTGGGTTCGAGTCCCACCCGAGTGTTTTTTTCCAGCTTTCACTCGGGAGGTAACACACTGAGTATACAGTGTTTAAACGTCGGTGCAGGGCAAAACCTAATTTGATTTATATAGTATCATTATGCTCGTACATGACCATACAGAGCATTCCCCTGTCCCTCGCCCCGCGATCTCACATCCATTTTGGTTTACAAATATCACCAGAAGAAAATGCAAGAAACAGATTATTCAGGGACCCAGTTCACGTATTTTCATGCTGCATGATTTCAGAGAATAAAATATTTTTCATGTTTCAAACCTTGACAGAAACAAATCAATAGGCCAAAGACATTAAAGAGGTTGTGGATTACTCGAAGACATTTCCGTCATTTTTCGGGTATATGTAGCCTAAGGTGTGATGAAATAAAAACGACTATTGTTTCTGTCATGAAATGAGTACAAAAGGTACTTTTGAGCGCTGTTTTTCAGGTCCAGTTTCGACCCGAACGTGCAACTGTGTAAAAGTCGTCGTTGCGGGCAGCAAACAAAACACAGTAAATCGTGACGTAATAAACAGGACTCCCGATGCACAGTAATTAAAAACAACCAGCCGAATAACTTCACATGCGTTAAATAGTGTCAGACTGGATGCTGACATTGGATTAATTTTGTGACAAGATTGAAACAGTCTTGAATGTTGCAGTGTCATTTTTTTTCGTTAATGGCTCAAAGGAGGCCGAATGGTTGCCTAGGTCGTTCAAAGGTGGTACACAGGATGTTCAGACATCGCCATGGATGCCATGGTCACCGTAAAATTTTGAACATGTTCAAAACAGTCGCACAAAGGTCGCCGAGGAGGTTGGTTGCTCAAAGGTGGCTCAAATGAGGCAGAAGGGAGGCACAAGTATTGCCGTGGTTGCAGAGGGGGCATATTTATGCTCGAGGGGGCACATTTATGTCCGCAACAGGGGGACTTGGGTAAATCTGAGGGGAGGGGAGTGCCCCTGCAGTAATAAAACATATGGGCAGTGTTGTGTCATGTTGTACATTGCATCTATTGTTTGCGATTACTTATTTTAGCTTGTTTTGTAGTAGGCCATAGTTTTCATTGATTATTACATTCAGTTGTAGGCCACGCCCGAATGACGTGGCTATTTCCAGCAGTAACGTGTCCCTTTGGTGTGACTAAGCCTCTTTCTAGACATGTGTGTAATTACCAGTGTTGTAGTCGAGACCGGATAGTCCAAGACCGAGACCAAGACCGAGACCTGAAGATTCGAGACCGAAACCGAGACTGAGACCAGCCCCTTCAAGGCGGACCGAGACCGAGACCAATATGGTCCGAGACCGAGACCGAGACCGAGACCGCTGATAATAAATAACAATAGTCGAAATAAAAAAAACCAAGACTAGTTATTATAGATGAAAAAGGTAACCTTTCTATTCACAAAGAATACAGACCAAAATTTTGACCAGTGGCAGTGTTGACAAATTGATACATGACACCTTACTTGAGCAAAAAGTAGTTACACTTAAGAAATATGGGCTTTGACATGTTGTCTGCACCCAATCGTGACAAAAGTAAAAAGTTCACTAGTAAATCGTGACGTAATAAACAGGACTCCCGATGCACAGTAGCATACACGAGTCCTGTTTATTACGTCACGATTTACTGTGTTTTGTTTGCTGCCCGAAACGACAACTTTTACACAGTTGCACGTTCGAGTCGAAACTGGACCTGAAAAACAGCTCTCAAAAGTACCTTTTGTACTCATTTCATGACAGAAACAATAGTCGTTTTTATTTCATCACACCTTAGGCTACATATACCCGAAAAATGACGGAAATGGCTTCGAGCATTCCACAACCTCTTTAAAAACGCTAAACAAACGGAGCGGTAGCGATGGCATTGTCAGCAACGACCCCAACGCTATACAAATCCGAAACGAAGTGGCCAAGATGCTGATTGTTAATGGCGTGGTGTTCTTCTTATGCCAGACACCGTATCGGATCTTCAGCCTGACTCGGTGAATCTGTTAAGATTCCTAATCCTTTAGTAGCTGGGATCGGAAAAGGTGACAAATGGATATCCCTTGTTCCCCATTACATCAATACAATGATAAATCCCTTGATATACGTTGCAATGACTGCGACGTACCGTGCAGCACTCAGAGAGGCATTTGGCTTCAAAAAACAGCCACAACAGCACTGAAGCTACCTCGCCTCCCGCAATAACTGCACCAGACCAGAGAAACGCAACAGTAGCATCCCGTTCATAGGATGCAACCCTGCAAATAAAGTCCCATAGACACTAGTGCTAAATGCCCATACTTCAAAAACAGAAAAATGATGATCAACATGTCATCTTTCGTTTTCTTTTAATTTTTTGGTGGGTTGACCATTGACTTTTGGAGATATTCTCACCCAAAGAAGACGACCCCTATTTTCCCCAAAGCGGAAAAGTAGCCATCTTGAAAAACGATTCCTCCACAACATGGCAAAATAGCGCCACTTTCGAGCCCAATAGTATGAAGCCCGGGAAGGGACAGGGTGGAATTTTTTTTTGGAGTTTGCTAATTCGTTCGCACGAATTACTAATTCGTTCGCACGAATTACTAATTCGTGGGAACGAATTAACAAACTCCAGTAATTCGTTCGCACGAATTACTAATTCGTGGGAACGAATTACTAATTCGTTCCCACGAATTAGTAATTCGTGCGAACGAATTAGGAAATTCCAAAAAAAAATTCCACCCTGTCCCTTCCCGGGCTTCATACCCAGTCCTATCCCAGCTACTAAAGATTTAGGAATCTTAGCCATGTTGCAGATCTATCCATTTAGCCAGGGTGAAGATACGGAATGGTATCTGGTATAAGAAGAACACCATGCGTGCCATTAACAATTAGCATCTTGGCCACTTTTGGTTTAGGATTTCTATAGCGTTGGGGTTGTTGTTGACGTTGCCACATCTACCGCTGCGTTTGTTGAGCGTTTTTGTAAGATTTGCATGTACATGTATACATTGGCTACCGTTGGAATAGGACAAGGAATGTTCCTTATTGATGGAATGTAGTAGTTTACCCACGGTGCTATACTATCACAGTAGGCTACACTTGATGGATATTCTAGATATGCCTCATCATCGGGCCAATTAAGACATAGCACTTTAACTTTTGCTACCATTGGCATTTTAGAAATTGTAAACAGCAATCCTACCATCCAGCAGATTGCAATCATTCTGTATGTTTGTCTTCGTCCAAGGATTTTGAGGTACTTGATGGGATGACACTATCTCTCAAAAGATACTAAGGTAGCTAGTGCAATGGACGAAAAGTAGCCAGTTTGAGCGACGATAAAAAAAAACTAATACACTGGGCAGAATTCACGAAAGGATCGTCAAACTCAAGAATAATGGAGGCAGTATATCTCCAAATGTCTAACACTGAGTACAGATTCAAATAGAGAAGATCAGCTAGCGCCAAGTGTGCAAGGTATATGTTAGTATCTGTTCTCAGTTTGGGAACTCGGAGCATAACAAACAGGAAAGTGAAGTTATTAATGACACCAAGACACCAGATGATCTGTATGACAATGGTTATGATGACAGTGTCTGCCGGAGTGTAAAGTATCTCAAGAACTGCCTCCTGACTGACACTGACAGTATCTTGTTCACTACACTCGCCTAACGTTAAACCGGCTCCCACGATGAATATTTCTTTCACCACAGCTTCCTTGAACGTTCACCACCTTTTTTACTGAGCTCCCCAAAAGCCGACTGTAGTCCAGTACACGCAGAGGTTCATCCAAAAGTTCAAAAGCTTGGTTCATACAAGTATATGCAACTGAAGAAAATGAAAATCCCACTGGTGGAGAGTGCGGATGATTTTTTCTTCGTGTCAACTGCCTGATATAATTGTGGCCTGCATGCTTCACAGTTGTTTGCTAGCTTCGTGTTCTCAGATAGATGTGGCATTACGATTCCTCTTTGGTTACTATAATTGTGACCATTTCACTACCTTCATCAAGTTTGTCTTTTATTAATGGATTACGCCTTCTCCCACTCCTCTTCTTGCTAATTTGGATGTTGGTCTGTTCTCTTATGTAGGTCGGCTTCGTATGTGTCTTGGGTATTTAAATGATCGATATGCAGTAGTGCCCCCTTTCCATTTATCTTCCGCTATTTATTCATTTTTGTCATTTCCTGTAGTTACTTGGGAAAGTTTCTTTCCAAGTTATTCAAAGTTATTCATTTACGTACATCGCTCTTGTATCGATCCTAACAAGATCTTTTTTTTTCCTCTGAAGAAGATTTTGTTAAGATAGATACGTCAGGCCGCCTTAGTTTTTTTTAGATTTGTATATTACAAGTCAATCCAGTCAGAAAGCAGTTTGCAACAATCTTATTCGTTTTCATTATCAGTTTAATGATGGTGTCCATAAGGATGCAATGTTTTACTTGCAATGCTCTTGACGTCATTGGAAATTGATTAAATAAGAATTGAAAAAAACAAATAAAGATTAAAGAGAACATAATTTTAACAAAGAAAATAAATTAGTTAAAACAAAATACATTTTCAAGTTTCTTCAGGTCGTTACTTCAAAACGTAATGATGTTTTTTTGTTGTCCATTATTGAACATTATCTACTCAGATCAGCAGAGGATGTTAGGAAATGTAAGACGGGCCAAGACGGTGGTGACGTAGTGAATAATAGTGCGGCCCCCAAACATACAAAAGCACAACACCATGAAAAGTTGGAGCTGCACGATAGTGTCTCCAAATCACCTCAAATCCTGGAAAATTCAATTCAGAGTCTGGTCTCACAGGTTTCAGGGTTCTCATCCGTGACTGGGGTTGCTGTTGTAGCATTTCCTCGGTCTGGTGTAATTATTGCAAGAGCAGAGGAAGCCTGTTGTTGGGGATGTTTTTTGCAGGAAAATGTCTCTGTCAATGCTGCACGGTACGTCGCAGTCATTGCAGCGTATATCAAGGGATTTATCATTGCATTGATGTACTGGGGAATGACGGATATCCAGATATCACCTCTTCCTATCCCAGCTTCTAAAGGATTAGGAATCTTAGCCAGGTTGCTGATCCACCCAGCCAGGCTGAAGATCTGATACGGTGTCTGGCATAAGAAGAACACCACGCCATTAACAATCAGCATCTTGGCCACTTGGTTTCGGATTTGTATAGCGTTGGGGTCGTTACTGACAATGCCATCTCTACCGCTCCGTTTGTTTAGCGTTTTTAAGATCCGCACGTACATGTAGATGTTGGCTACCATTGAAATAAGCCAAGGAATGCTCAACAGTGGCAAAATGTAGTAGACTACCCATGGTGCTAAGGGACTACAGTAACCCTTCGTTGACGGGTAGTCTCGGTATGCTTCATCATCGGGCCAATTCAGGCATAGCACTCTAAGTTTTGCTAATGCTGGCATTGTTGCAATGGAAACCAGCAAGCCTACCAGCCAGCAGATTGCAATCATTCTGTAGGTTCGTCTTCGTCCACGGATTGTGCGATGCTTAATGGGATGACACAGGCCGAGGTATCTCTCAAATGATACCATGGTAACTAATGCAATGGAGGCATAGTAGACAGTTTCATAAGCGATAACAGTGCCTGTGCAATAGGCAGAATTTACGAAGGGATCGTGAAATGCGACAAGAGACGCAGAATATCTCCAAATGTGTATCACAGATGCCAAATTCAGAAAGAGAAGATCAGCTAAGGCCATGTGTGCAAGGTATAGATTAGTGTCTGTTCTCAGTTTGGGAACGCGGAGCATGACAAACAGGAAAGTCAAGTTATTGATGACACCAAGACACCAGATGATCGGTATGATTATGGTTACGATGACAATTTCAGCGGGAGTGTAAAGCATATCAGACACTTCCTCCTGACTGATGTTGACAGTATCTTGTTCACTGCACTCACCTGGCGTAATACCGGCTCCCATGCTGGATATTTCTTTCACCACAGCTTCCTTGCAAGTGGACCACTCTTACAAAGCTCCACCCAATCCAACTGTCGTCTCGTATATGCTCAGTTCCAGAGAACTATGAATTAAGTCAAGCTAGGAGGTTCTTCCATTGTTCCATAGATTGGTTCAAATGCAGAGGAAATGATAATCCCACTGCTGGAGAGTGTTGGGTGATGATGTACCGGAGTCGTTTCTCCCACTGCCCAACTGAAAGAATTGTGGCCCACTGTGAATTAGTTTGCTGGCTTTATATTCATTTTTGTGTGGCAGTACAATTCGTATTTTTTTTTTAAAATAAGAACATACAATTTGAGACCTCTTCACTAACTTAATCAATTTCGTCTTTCAGGAGTGAATCACCCTTTCTCCCATTCTGCCAGTTTTTAATTTAGAAGGTCTCCTGTTCTCTTTGATAGGTCTGTTTGATTTGTGTCAGGGATATTTTGATTGACTGATTGCTTATTGGAATGATTGATGATGTGTAGTAGGGCCCTACTTCCATTGAATTTCCCATGTTCATTCATTTTGTGCCATTTCCTGTGGTTACTGGCTTTGTTGTAAGCAACAAAAAGAAAGAGCAGTCTTTTAACGCGGTGAGGGTGACGAGGTACCTTGATTTTGCAAAAATCATGTACGGTTAAATCATGGTACAAACTTGCGACCTTCACTTAAACACCAAACAAAAAGACAGATATCATTTGAAATATCAAAATGAAAGTGGGACACCTAAAAATATATTTACAGTTAAATATTTCAAAAGGAAATCTGTATTAGCCTAAGTTCGTAAACATCCAATTTTCCCTGAAACTGGTGGCACGAAATTGCTCAAAATATCTCAACAATACCAAATCATTGTTTTACATGCATTATTCAGTATTGCCATCGTTCTACGCAGATCAGGAGAGGTGTTCGGAAATATAAGGTAGACCAAGACAATGCAGGCTTAGTGAGATTTAAAAAAAATGGACTGCCATCAAAACAAATGAAGGCAGAACACAACGATAGGGCTGCATGCCCTCCTCGTCCAATATCCCCGATAATTGAGTGATGGATTTCAGTGTTCTCATCCGTGACTGAGGTTGCTGCTGTTGCGTTTCTCTGGTCCGGTGCACTTAATGTGAGAGGCGAGGTAGTTTGCTGTTTGGGCTGTTTTTTTTGCAGCAAAATGCCACTCTGAACGCTGCACGGTACGTCGTGGTCATTGCAGCGTAGACCAAGGGATTAATCATTGCATTAACGTACTGGGTAACAAAGGATATCCATTTGTCACCTCTTCCTATCCCAGTTACTAAAGGATTAGGAATCTTAGCCATGTTGCAGATCCATTTAGCCAGGGTGAAGATACGGAATGGTATCTGGCATAAGAAGAACGCCATGCAAGCCATTAACAATTAGCATCTTGGCCACTTTTGGTTTAGGATTTCTATAGCGTTGGGGTCGTTACTGGCGATGCCACATCTACCGCTGCGTTTGTTGAGCGTTTTTAAGATTTGCACGTACATGTAGATGTTGGCTACCATTGGAATAAGCCAAGGAACGTTCCTCATAGATGGAATGTAGTAGTTTACCCACGGTGCTATAATATCACAGTAGGCTGCAATTGATGGATAGTCTAGATATGCTTCATCGTCGGGCCAATTCAGACATACAATAGCACTTTAAGTTTTGCTACCATTGGCACTGAAGAAATAGCAAACAGCAAGTTTTCCAGCCAGCAGATTGCAGTCATTCTAGTGTAGGTTCGTATTCGTCCACGGATTTTGAAATGCTTGAAGGGATGGCACAGGGCAAGGTATCTCTCAAAAGATTGCATGGTTACTAGTGAAATGGACGAAAAGTAGCCAGTTTGAGCGACGATAAAAAACTAATACAATGGGCAGAATTCACGAAAGGATCGTCAAACTCAATAATGGCGGCAGTATATCTCCAAATGTCTAACACTGAGTACAGATTCAAATAGAAAAGACCAGCTAGCGCCAAGTGTGCAAGGTATACGTTAGTATCTGTTCTCAGTATGGGGACTCGGAGCATGACAAACAGGAAAGTGAAGTTATTGATGACACCAAGACACTAGATGATCGGTACGATAATGGTTATGATGACAGTGACTGCCGGAGTGTAAATCATCTCACAAACTTCCTGCCGACATTGACAGTGTGGCTTGTTCACTTCACTCGCCTAACGTTATACCGGCTCCCATGCTGGATATTTCTTTCACCACAGCTTCCTTGATCATTCACCAGCCTTACTGAGATCCTCCAAAGCCGACTGTAGTCCACTACATGCAGAGTTTTAGAGAACCCTAATTATGTCAATCTAGGAGGTTCATCCAAAAGTTCCAAAGCTTGGTTCATACATGTATATGCAACTGAAGAAAATGAAAATCCCACTGGTGGAGAGTGCAGATGATTTTTTCTTCGTGTCAACTGCCTGATATAATTGTGGCCTGCATGCTTCACAGTTGTTTGCTAGCCTCGTGTTCTCAGATAGATGTGTGGCATGTCCTCTTTTGGTTTCTGTGGCCATTTCACTAACTTCATCAAGTTTGTCTTTCAATAATGGATTACACCTTCTCCCACTTCTCTTCTTGCTAATTTGGATGTTGGTCTGTTCTCTTATGTAGGTTGGCTTCGTATGTGTCTTGGGTATTTAAATGATCGAAATTATGCAGTAGTGCCCCCTTTCCATTTATCTTCCGCTATTCATTCATTTCCGTCATTTCCTGTAGTTACTTGGGAAAGTTTCTTTCCAAATTAATCAAATGTATTCATTTACGTAAGTGAATTGTATCGATCTTAACAAGATCTCTTGTTTTCCTCTGAAGAAGATTAGTTAAGATAGATACGTCAGGCCGCCTTAAAAATTTTTAATTCGTATATTACAGGTCAATTCAGTCAGAAAGCAGTTTGCAACAGTCATTCATTTTTTTATTCATTTAATGGTAACTTTATGAGTTTAATTATGGTGACAATAACGCTGTTATGTTTTTACTTTTAGTGCTCTTGACGTCATTGGAAATTGATTAAACAAGAATTGAAAAAAAAGCAAAATTAGACCAAGTGAAAACATTTTAACAAAGAAAAGAATAATAAAGTCTATGGCCTTTTGATGCCATATATAATAAAATTGTCATTGGATACTGACATAATGGAATAATTGACAGTTCTCTTTAATTGGCTCAGAACACCAAAGAGCACACTTTGTTGCTGACCAAGAAGAAAAAAAGAGGCGGTCTTTTTTGTCGCAAACGATGTTGAGGTACTTTAGTATTGCAAAAGCCATATACACATATTTATTAACATTCACTGAAACATCAAACAAAACGACAGATATCATTTGAACATTTCAAAACAAAAGTGGTTATTTTTTTTAATAAATATAAACAGTTAAATATTTCAATCGGAATTCCGTATTCAGTTCTTAAACATCAAATTTCCCACACAAACTGGTGGCCCAAAATTGCTCAAAATAGAAACAAAAATACGAATAGGCCTAATACCAAATAATTGTCTTACATGCGGGCCCTTCAGACTTGAGCCCATTAAGTTAATAATAATATTAATAATAATAATGCCGAAGTCTTATATAGCGTATGTATCTACCAACAATTAGGTACTCAAGGCGCTGGAAATTATGTCTATTATTAGAGACAGGTAGATGAAGTACATGAGAAATATGAGAACCATTATGTAGCACCTTTATAATGGTTTACAAGGTGCTGCGGCGCATTAAGCAGCCACTGCCAAAAACACCGGGGCAAACGTCTTCTCTTAGCGATAAGTGTTTCTGGGTTCTTTAACGTGCATTACACAACACAAGGGAGCTACGGATTCACGTCCCATCCGAAGGACGAAGCAATAATGGTAAAGCACCTTGCTCAAGAGCGCAAGCACCATGTTCCCACGGTCGGGATTCGAACCCATGTGGGCGGCACTTGAGTCGAACACTGTAACCATTGGATTTGAAGTTGAACATTATTTTCGTGTGAACTGCACAATCAACCTACTATCATCTGTGCATTGTCCAATATTTAAACCATTGCTATGACGTCACACTATTGTTACAAGTGTGGATTCGGAACTACGAATCTGTTACGCTGGTTACAAAGTGTGGATTCGGAACGAAGAATCTTTAGTAAAGTGTGGATTCGGAATTACGAATCCACCCTTTGAACACGTCAGACAATTGTTCTCTATAATGAGCATTAATAGGACCGTATGCGTGAAAATTTCCTTCCGAAATTACCAATGCATCTTCCCTGTCAGATTCTCCGCCGTCACTGCAAAACCTACTTTGAGTCAGAAAGAAATCGTCGTCTGAACTATCAATTTGTCGACGGAAGGAGCCGGGACAAAATGTTGCAACCTGACGCCACTTTTTTTCTCCATATATCATCTCAATGAAGGGCATTCATTGCAAAAATGATGATAGACATGAATCTGGGGCTGAGAAATATTTCCAATTTTGTTAGGAAATACTTTTAAAAAATCTTGACTCTCCATAGACTTTGTACACAATCGCGGCAGTGGCGTCAGGTTGCAACATTTATCCCAAGTCTTTTCATCTCCACTCACTGTTAATGCCAATACTTCTTTTGACGCAATGGTTTAAGTCGAAGAATACACTCGCAAGTGTGGATTCTTAATTTACGAATTCACTCGGCGCTTCGCGCCTCGTGAATTCTTAAATTACGAACCCACACTTTCTCGTGTATTCTCCTTAACGTCAGCCCATTAATCATGTTACTAAACCTCAAAACACCATCTAAAGTTTATCAAGATCCATAACCAAGAATTCAGAATTGTTATGAAGAGCAAATACAATTTTTTTTATGCGACCAATCATTAAATATCTGATTTCACAGTTTTTGAAACTAAATACATTTTCCAATTTTCGTCTGGTCGTTACTTCAAAACGTAATGATTTTTCTTTTCATTATTGAGCATTATCTACCCAGATCAGCAGAGGATGTTCGTAAATGTAAGGCGGACCAAGACAGTGGTGGCGTGGTGACATTAATAACAGTGCGGCCACAAAACAAACAAAGGCAGAATAAAATGGAAAGTTACAGCTGTGAGTGTTCCCCAATCACCCCAAAACCTGGAAATTTCAAATCAGAGTCTGGTGTCACAGGTTTCGGTGTTCTCATCCGTGACTGAGGTTGCTGCTGTATCGTTTCTCTGGTCTGGTGCACACATTGCGAGAGGCGGGGTAGTTTGCTGTTGGGGCTGTTTTTTGAAGCAGAATGCCTCTTTGAATGCTGCACGGTACGTCGCGGTCATGGCAGCATAGATCAAGGGATTAATAATTGTATTGATGTATAGCAAAACCCTATATATCACTATGCTATTTTTGCCTAATATATTCCACAAGGGATTGGGAATCTGTGCATAGAAACAGATCCACTCAGCGAGATTCATGATACAATATGGTGTCTGGCATAAGAAGGACACAGTACCATTTACAATCAGCATTTTGGCCACTTGGTTTCGGATTTTCAACGCATTAGGATCGTTATTGACTATGCCGCCTCTACCGCTGCGTTTGCTGAGCGTTTTTAAGATCCGCATGTACATGTAGATGTTGGCTGCCAGTGAAAAAAGCCAAGGAAAGTTCCTCATCGGTGGCATGAAGTACCCTGCCCACGGTACTATAATATCACAGTAAGTCGACGTTGACGGATAGTCTTGATACACGTAAGCTTCATCATCGGGCCAATTCAGACATAGCAATTTAAGATCAGAAAGCATCACTGTGCTTGGAATGGCAACCAGCAAGCCTACCAGCCAGCAGATTGAAATCATTCGGTGGGTTCGTCTCCGTCCACGGATTGTGCGATGCTTAATGGGGTGACAGAGGGCAAGGTATCTCTCAAAAGTTACCATGGTAACAAGTGCCAGGGAGGCAAAATAGCCAGTTTGAGCGACGACAAAAAAAGTAATGCACTGGGCAGAATTGACGAAGGGATCGTGAAACACAACTACAGATGCAGTGTATCTCCAAATGTATAATATGGATGCCAGATTCAGAAAGAGAAGATCAGCTAGTGCCATGTGTGCGAGGTATAAGAAAGTATCTGTTCTCAGTTTGGGAACGCGGAGCATGACAAACAGAAAAGTTGAGTTATTGATGACACCAAGACACCAGGTGATCGGTATGATTATGGTTATGATGACAGTGTCCGTTGGAGTATAAATCCAGTCTGAAACCTTCTCCCGACTGATATTGAAAGTATCTTGTTCACTGCACTCACCTGACGTTATACCGGCTCCCATGCCGGATATTTCTTTCACCACAGCTTCCTTGCAAGTTCACCACTCTTACAAAGCTCCTCCTAAGAGCTCCTTCAATGCCAACTGTAGTCCAATACATACACAGTTCTAGAGAACCCTAAATTAGGTCAAGCTAAGGAGGTCTTCCAAAGTTCTAAAGATTGGTTCACATGCAGAGTAAATGAAAATCCCACTGCTGGAGAGTGTTTGGTGATGATGTATCTTTTCTCGAGGCCAACTTCCTGACTGAAATTATTGTGGCCTGCATGCTCCACAGTTGCTAGCCTCCTGTTCTTTGATAGATGTGTGACATCACGATTCCTCTATTTATTACAACAGATTATTGTGACCCTTTCACTAGCTTATTCAATTATGCCTTTCAGTAGAATGGAGAAGCCATTCTCACAACCCAAAGTTGTAAGTGCAAACATTGGCCTGTATAGCTGTTTATTTTGTGTCTTGGGAAGTTGAATTGAATTGAATGGAATTGAATTAATTCAATTGATCCATAAAAGAAATTGCAATTGCTCACCGTAACAATAAAAAGGAATTAATATACAAAATATCAGAAACAAACTCAAACATCACAGTAATATAAAAATTAAAAATATGAAATGTAATATTGTGATTATAACATATCAAAATGTCATAATTTGTTTCGTGGGTATTTAAATGATTTATCTGTAGTAGTGCCCCTTTTCCGTTTATTTTTTTTATATTTTCATTCATTTATGTCATTGCCTGTAGTTACTTGCTTTCCAGAGTTACTCATTTAATAAATTCAGATTACTAATGTTGATCATAATGATATACGTGTAAGTTTTTTACTGAAAGTGTCCTTTTATTCAAAACTGATTAACCAAGAAGTTGAAAGAATCGAAATTAGATCAAGGCAAAATGTAATTACAGGAAAAAATAGAATACTTGTCATTGAATACTGACGAGCTGAACTAATGACAGTACATGTACTCTTTAATTGGCTCAGAATACCAAAGAGCACACCTTGTTGCTTTTATGTATACTTTGATTGTGTAAAAGCCATGCACGGTTTATAGAATACTTGTCATTGAATACTGACGAGCTGAACTAATGACAGTACATGTACTCTTTACTTGGCTCAGAATACCAAAGAGCACACCTTGTTGCTTTTAAGTATACTTTGATTGTGTAAAAGCCATGCACGGTTTATAGAATACTTGTCATTGAATACTGACGAGCTGAACTAATGACAGTACATGTACTCTTTAATTGGCTCAGAATACCAAAGAGCACACCTTGTTGCTTTTAAGTATACTCTGATTGTATAAAAGCCATGCACGGTTAATTCATGTTACACATACAACCTTCACTTAAACATCAAACAGACAGACAGATATCATTTGAACATTTCAAATCAAAAGTGGGTCAGTTTTGAGACATTCACCGTTACATATTTTGACTAGCAATGGAATTGTGTTTGTAAGCATCCAATCTACACTGAAACTGGTGGCACAAAACTGTCCAAAATAAAAACACCTTTGCATTAGTTTGCAACTGAACAGTACCAAAAAATACTTGTAGCTCAAGCTTAGTCTGAAATTAATAGCAAATGCCTCTAATGTAGAGAAGCGAAACGAAATGGATAAGCTTAATAAGACTTGGTGACTGTCAAGAAATCCACAAGCAAAAATATACAATGTTTAATTTAATCTGAAGTAAATTATACTAAAAGATGGCATTTAAGACATATTGGTAAATGTATATGTAGGCCATGGCTATGTCTCCAAGCATGAACTAATTGCCAAGCATGAACAAAAAGTGAAGGGTTTACGCAGATCAGCAGTATAAATGTTCGTAAACAAGGCGGACTAAGACTTCGGTGACTTGGTGAGATCTAAATATAGACTGGCCTCAAACAGAGAAAGCCAGAACACCCCCCCCCCCCCTTTACCAAAAATCACAGAAAATTTGATTCAGAGTCTGGTTTCACAGGTTTCAATGTTCTCATCAGTGACTGAGGGGTGCACACCGGTAAATAGGCCTAAATCCATCCGCCGAGCTCACGAATAAAAGTTATACCCTCAAAAATATTCTATATTAGAGAGTTCTGAGCGCCGTAAAATTGGGGAATTGAAGAGATATGGTAATGAACCTCTGGCCCGGACTTGGGGCTTCCAGTTCTGAGCATTTTGAGTGCTATTGTATGAAGCCCGGGAAGGGACAGGGTGGAATTTTTTTTTGGAATTTCCTAATTCGTTCGCACGAATTACTAATTCGTGGGAACGAATTAGTAATTCGTTCCCACGAATTAGTAATTCGTGCGAACGAATTACTGGAGTTTGTTAATTCGTTCCCACGAATTAGTAATTCGTTCGCACGAATTGCTAATTCGTTCCCACGAATTAGTAATTCGTTCCCACGAATTAGTAATTCGTGCGAACGAATTAGTAATTCGTGCGAACGAATTAGCAAACACCAAAAAAAAATTCCACCCTGTCCCTTCCCGGGCTTCATAAAGGGGTGACAAATGGATATCCTTCGTTCCCCAGTACATCAATACAATGATTAATCCCTTGATCTACGCTGCAATGACCGCGACGTACCGTGCAGCGTTCAGAGTGGCATTTTGCTGCAAAAAAAACCAGCCCAAACAGCAATCTACCTCGCCTCTCACATTAAGTGCACCGGACCAGAGAAACGCAACCGCAGCCACCTCAGTCACGGATGAGAACACTGAAATCCATCACTCAATTTTCGGGGATATTGGACGAGGAGGGCATGCAGCCCTATCGTTGTGTTCTGCCTTCGTTTAATTTGGATGGCAGTCCATTTTTTCAAATCTCACTAAGCCACCATTGTCTTGGTCTGCCTTATATTTCCGAACACCTCTCCTGATCTGCGTAGAACGATGGCAATACTGAATAAAGCATGTAAAAAAATGATTTGGTATTGTTGAGATATTTTGAGCAATTTCGTGCCACCAGTTTTAGGGAAAATTGGATGCTTACGAACTTAATACAGATTTCCTTTTGAAATATATATAACTGTAGATATATATTTTTAAGTGTCCCACTTTCATTTTGATGTTTCAAATGATATCTGTCTTTTTGTTTGGTGTTTTAGTGAAGGTCGCAAGTTTGTACCATGATTTAACCGTACATGATTTTTGCAAAATCGAGGTACCTCGTCACACTCACCGCGTTAAAAGACTGCTCTTTCTTTTTGTTGCTTACAACAAAGCCAGTAACCACAGGAAATGGCACAAAATGAATGAACATGGGAAATTCAATGGAAGTAGGGCCCTACTACACATCATCAATCATTCCAATAAGCAATCAGTCAATCAAAATATCCCTGACACAAATCAAACAGACCTATCAAAGAGAACAGGAGACCTTCTAAATTAAAAACTGGCAGAATGGGAGAAAGGGTGATTCATTCCTGAAAGACGAAATTGATTAAGTTAGTGAAGAGGTCTAAAATTGTATGTTCTAATTTTAAAACAAATTGTACTGCAACACAAAAATGAATATCAAGCCAGCAAACTGATTCACAGTGGGCCACAATTCTTTCAGTCAGGCAGTGGGAGAAACGACTCTGGTACATCATCACCCAACACTCTCCAGCAGTGGGATTATCATTTCCTCTGCATTTGAACCAATCTTTGGAACAATGGAAGAACCTCCGAGCTTGACTTAATTTATAGTTCTCTGGAACTGTGCATATACGAGACGACAGTTGGATTGGGTGGAGCTTTGTAAGAGTGGTCAACTTGTAAGGAAGCTGTGGTGAAAGAAATATCCAGCATGGGAGCCGGTATTACGCCAGGTGAGTGCAGTGAACAAGATACTGTCAACATCAGTCAGGAGGAAGTGTCTGAGATGCTTTACACTCCCGCTGAAATTGTCATTGTAACCATAATCATACCGATCATTTGGTGTCTTGGTGTCATCAATAACTTGACTTTTCTGTTTGTCATGCTCCGCGTTCCCAAACTGAGAACAGATACTAATCTATACCTTGCACACATGGTCTTAGCTGATCTTCTCTTTCTGAATTTGGCATCTGTGATACACATTTGGGGATATTCTGCGTCTCTTGTCGCAATTCACGACCCCTTCGTGAATTCTGCCTATTGCATAGGTACTTGTATCGCTTATAAAACTGTCTACTATGTCTCCATTGCACTAGTAACCACGGTGTCTTTTGAGAGATACCTTGCCCTGTGCCATCCCATTAAGCATCGCACAATCCGTGGACGAAGACGAACCTACAGAATGATTGCAATCTGCTGGATAGTAGGCTTGCTGGTTTCCATTGCAACAATGCCAGCATTAGCAAAACTTAGAGTGTTATGCCTGAATTGGCCCGATGATGAAGCATACCGAGACTACCCATCAACGAAGGGTTACTGTAGTCCCTTAGCACCATGGGTAGACTACTACATTTTGCCACTGTTGAGCATTCCTTGGCTTATTTCAATGGTAGCCAACATCTACTTGTACGTGCAGATCTTAAAAACGCTCAACAAACGGAGCGGCAGAGATGGCATTGTCAGTAACGCCCCCAACGCTATACAAATCCGAAACCAAGTGGCCAAGATGCTGATTGTTGATGGCGTGGTGTTCTTCTTATGCCAGACACCGTATCAGATCTTCAACCTGGCTGAGTGGATCAGCAACCTGGGTAAGATTCCTAATCCTTTAGTAGCTGGGATAGGAAGAGGTGATCTCTGGATATCCGTCATTCCCCAGTACATCAATGCAATGATAAATCCCTTGATATACGCTGCAATGACTGCGACGTACCGTGCAGCATTGACAGTGACATTTTCCTGCAAAAAACATCCCCAACAACAGGCTACCTCTGCTCTTGCAATAATTACACCAGACCAGGGAAATGCTACAACAGCAACCTCAGTCACGGATGAGAACGCTGAAACCTGTGAGACCAGACTATGAATTGAATGTTCCAGGATTTGAGGTGATTTGGAGACACTATCGTGCAGCTCCAACTTTTCATTGGTGCTCTGCTTTTGTATGTTTGGTGGCCGCACTATAATTCACTACGTCACCACTGTCTTGGCCCGTCTTACATTTCCTAACATCCTCTGCTGATCTGAGTAGCTAATGGTCAATAATGGAGAAAAAAAACATCATTACGTTTTGAAGTTACGACCTGAAGAAACTTGAAAATGTAACTAATTTATTTTCTTTGTTAAAACTATGTTCTCTTTAATCTTTATTTGCTTTCTTTCAGTTCTGTTTAATCAATTTCCAATGACGTCAAGAACACTGCAAGTAAAATCATTACATCGTTAGGCCAAAAAAAAGTCTCCGGTTTCTGGTATGCGTGCGTGTCGCCGTAGCCATGCGCGTCGGCAAAATGAATTTTTTTTTTTTTTCAATGAAAGATGATGTCTCAAAACCGCCAAACTCACTGGTTTGACTGGAATCCTGCTGCTGCACAATTTTAACGTGTTTTTAGATGGGTTATGATTGAGAATAAGCTTTATGTGGCCTCTCTGGTCTCCCATAATATTTGCACTAAGTTTAGTCGGGCACCATTTGCAGTCATCAGCCGACATTTGAAGCAAAAAAAAAAAAAAAGGTAAAAAAAAATAGCCGCGTCGCCGCACCACTTTTTGGGCAAGCTCCAAACCAGAAACCGGAGACTTTTTGTTTTTGGCCTGATGGTCACCATCATTAATGGTAATGAAAACGAATAAGATTGTTGCAAACTGCTTTCTGACTGGACTGACTTGTAATATACAAATCTAAGAAAAAAATAAAGGCAGCCTGACGTATCTATCTTAACAAAATCTTCTTCAGAGGAAAACAGAGATCTTGTTAAGATCGATACAAGATCGATGTACGTAAATTAATAACTTTGAATAACTTGGAAAGGAACTTTCCCAAGTAACTACAGGAAATGACAAAAATGAATAAATAGCGGAAGATAAATGGAAAGGGGGCACTACTGCATATCGATCATTTAAATACCCAAGACACATACGAAGCCGACCTACATAAGAGAACAGACCAACATCCAAATTAGCAACAGGGAGGAAAGGACAAGGCGTAATCCATTAACAAAGACAAAATTGATTACTTGGTTACTGAAAATGTTCACAGTCATAATGTTATAACCAAAATAGGAAATGTGCTGCCACACTATCTGTAGGAAGACATGGCTAGCAACCAACTGTGGAGCATACAGGCCACAATTATTTCAGTCAGGAAGTTGACACAAAGAAAAGATCACTTACAACTCTCCAGCAGTGGGATTTTCATTTCTTCGCAAACATGTATGAACCAATCTTTGGAACCTTTGGAAGAATCTCCTGGCTTGACTTTAATTATCTCAGCTAGGGTTCTCTAGAACTGTGCATGTACATGACTAGACAGTTGGCTTGGTTGGGTCTTGTAAGAGTGGTGAACTTTCAAGGAAGCTATGGTGACAAATATCCAGCATGGGAGCCAGTATAACGTCAGGCGACTTTAGTGAACAAGATACTTTCAACATCAGTCAGGAGGCAGTTTCTGAGATGCTTTACACTCCGGCAGACACTGTCATCATAACCATTATCATACCGATCATCTGGTGTCTTGGTGTCATCAATAACTCGACTTTCCTGTTTGTCATGCTCCGCGTCCCCAAACTCAGAACAGGTACTAACGTATACCTTGCACACTTGGCGCTAGCTGATCTTCTCTATTTGAATCTGTACTTAGTGCTAGACATTTGGAGATATACTGCCTCCATTATTGTTTTTGGCGATCCCTTCGTGAATTCTGCCCAGTGTATTAGTTTTTTTGTCGTCGCTCAAACTGGCTACTTTTCGTCCATTGCACTAGTAACCACAGTGTCTTTCGAGAGATACCTTGCCCTGTGCCATCCCATCAATCACCTCAAAATCCGTGGACGAAGACGAACGTATAGAATGATTGCAATCTGCTGGATGGTAGGCTTGCTGTTTGCTATTTCTTCAATGCCAATGGTAGCAAAACTTAAAGTGCTATGTCTGAATTGGCCCGATGATGAAGCATATCTAGACTATCCATCAAGTGCAGCCTACTGTGATATTATAGCACCGTGGGTAAACCACTACTTTCCACCTATGAGGAACATTCCTTGGCTTTTTTCAATGGTAGCCAATATCTACTTGTATGTTCAGATCTTAAACACGCTCATCAAACGTAGCGGTAGAGATGGCGTCGCCAGTAACAACCCCAACGCTAAACAACTCCGAAACCAAGTTGCAAAGATGCTGATTGTTAATGGCGTGGTGTTCTTCTTGTGCCAAACACCATCCCGTATCTTCACCTTGGTTAAATGGGTCTGCACCCTGGCACAGATTCCTAATCCTTTAGTGGTTGGGAGAGGAAGAGGTAACAGATGGATATCACTCATTCCTCAGTACATCAATACAATTATTAATCCCTTCATCTACGCTGCATCTATGACCGCGACATACCGTGCAGCGTTCAGAGAGGCATTTTAGTGCAAAAAAACAGCCCCGACAGCAAACTACCTCGACTCTCGCAATAACTGCACCAGACCAGAGAAACGCAACAGTAGCAACCTCAGTCACGGAGGAGAACACTGAAACCGGTGAAACCAGTCTCTGAATTGAAATTTCCAGGATTTCGACGGAAAGGGGACGTGACCACGTGTAACTGGCGTTTGTGTTCTTCTTTTGTTTGTTTGGAGCGGTGTAATTTTGTTTTATCTCACTAGGCCACTGTTGTCTTTTTATTGGGTAAATTGGATGTTTACAAATTGAATGAAGATTTACTTTTAAAATATATCTTTTGAAATGCTTGTACATATCTCAAAAATCGACCCACTTTTAAACTATAATATGGAAATCCAGTGGATATGCGAGTATTTCTTCAGTGTATTGACAGTTTGGCGGGAAACTGTTTAGCCTTGGCGGAGGTTTGCGCTCTCTGAAAGCTTTCTGGCTATTATTGCTTTAATTATTTTTACTTGATCTAATTTCCTTCTTTTAATCAATTTCCTCGTTTAATCAATTACCAAAGACTTCGAGAGCACTGCAAGTAGAAACATTTCTTTATTATGGAAATCATCATTAAACTTATAAATTAATCATCTAATGAATAACTTGGGAAAGCAGGTTTCTATGTACCGGTAACTACACGAAATGAGAAAAAATGCTATCATAAAAAAACAAGATATGTATTAAACAAACCTACACAAGAGAACAGACCAACGTCCAAATGGGAGAAGGGGGACTCCATTACTTAAAGACAAAATAGATTTAGTTATAGCGAAATGGTCACAGTCATATATCTACTAATCAAGAGAGGAATTGTGATGTCACGGATCTGTCTGAGAACATGGGACTAGAAAACAACGTTGAGCATGCAGGCCACTATTACATGTACTTCAGTCCGGCAGACCGTTGGCCCGGAGAAAACACAACATCACCTCGACACTCTCTCGGGATGGGATTCTCAATTCATTTCAATTCAACACATTTACTTTCTATCGTAAAATTTTAGAACCTCTTAGCTTGACTTAATTCAGGGTTCTCTGGAACTGCGCATGTACTGGACTAGAGTTTGCTTGTACGGAGCTTTATAAAGAGAGTGAACTTTCAAGGATCGCAGCTGTGGTGCAAGACATATCCAGCATGGGAGCCAGTATAAAAAAAAAATGTCAGTCAGCAGTCAATGTCAGTCAGCAGCAAGTGTCCGAGATGCTGTATACACTCCCACAGAAACTGTCATTGACCACTGTCATACCTATCATCCGTGGGCGTCGCCAGGATTTTTTTGTGGGGGGGGGGGAGGGCAAAGCAATGTCCCCCCCCCCAAAAAAAAAAATCCTTGTACTTTCAAATTACAGATGAGAAAAGCCGATGAGGAAAATAAAACTCTCAAACACCAAAAACAATTATTTAACTTCGATGCAAAAACTCATGTTACAAAATTCATTAATGTTTATTAAAATTTACAAATTTTGTTTTCCAGAACTATCCCAAAGTCAGTTTTCTTCCCACTAAAGGTTTGAAATAATACGATTCACGTTACGATTAGAATTGACTCAAAATAGTTTTGCAATGGTCTAGCTAAACCACGTTACAAAAAGGAAAATATTACTTTATCTTTCTTTGTGTTTTGTTTGGTTAAGTTTTTTTTATGTTGTTGCACGGTGTAGCGCTATAAAGACAATGTGCAAGAATAGCTACCGTAGCTATTCTTGCACATTTTCTTTAAATAGAGCCACGCTCTTGATACCTGCGCTCTTGATACACACACTGCACTTTTCTGTCCAATGATATACAGATCTGAGACTGAGTCTACAGTTAAAAGCTTTCAAGGCCTCCACATTTATATATCACCTGTACTTTAGACTCATTTCCAGTCCAGGTTGTGAGTGTAACAATGCCCCCCAAATTACATGTAATCACAACTTGACTGGCAAGTATCCAATATGTTCCAGAGGATACGTTAGGGTCACATTGAAGTTTTGCGAGCTGTATGACAAGCCTTCTGAAACGGATATGTAAGGAAAAATACCCTGTTTGTCTTAATATTTGGCCTATTAATGTTTAGCAAAACAAAAATTATGAATGTATGATTTTCGCAATTAATGCAAGACTATTATCGCACCGGAAAACATGCCAGGCTGTTTCCTAGATCCTAACGCTGTTGTTATTACACATTGCTTGATTTTCTTTTTGAGTTGAGGCGGGTTTGAACATATTGCCATTTTCCTATTAATAGAAAGTATTAGTACATAATTTACATTACATGGTAAAAAAAAACGACCTAATATAATTTCCACATGGTAAAAGTCTAACGCGCCATGACGTAAATAAACATTTTGACACCTACAAATGAAGAGAACCAATAATTAATACTATTTTTTTGAGTACTACACTTTTTACACGACAGCGTACTGCAAATCTTACACAAAAGTTATGCACGAAATCAACATTGGTTTTTACATAATACCCGAAGTCAAGGCAACTATTTATTACACAAAGCATTATTTACGAAATAACATACAGGGTTTAAAAAGAACTATACAAATTTAATGTTATTTTTTTTCTCTCAGAACTCTCCAATTTCAACCATGACATAAAAATAATGCACAACAAATTCCTTGCAACCAGCGCCGTAACTAAGGTCAAACTTGACGGGGGGGGGGGGGGGGGGGGGGGGGGGTCAGTCAGCACCTGGTTGCCCCAATTTTTTTTAAGGGAAGCAAAGAGCAATTGAAATGTATCACTTTAACAGTGCATTAAAATGTTTTCAATCAAATAGTTGGGGGGGGGGAGCGCCACAAATTGTGTTTTCCCCAAGGGATGGTGTTTCCCATTTTCTGATTGCTCCATAACATGAATATCCATTACAGGCATATCTAATGCCCTCTTTAATAATTACTGACTCCAGTTTTTGGAGAAAAAGCGCCCCCCCCCCCTCCCCCTAGTTACGTCACTGCTTGGAATTATTCATGGAACCGCTCATCAACACGCAAAGCTTTGACCGTTTTGAAAACCTGGTTGCATTCCAGTTTGGCTTAATGAGCTCCTGCCCTAGAATCAAGTAGAAGCCTTTTGATTCAGATTCATTCTAGTCAGGGTCTAAAATCATGAAGCTGGAGCCTTCAAGCCAAAGTTGGAGGGCAAACCCGAGTTTTGAAAAACACTGACTCTCCCACTAATCAGCATATCATTACACAATTATTGAACACTTGCTGCATACAACTTCCACAGACACGAATATACAAACAAGAGGTATATTTACACTAATGCATTCCGATAATGTAAATATTTAAAAACGAGAAAAATTGATGGCTCTGAACCTGTACAAAAGTCGATAAAAAGATTGCTGTCAGTTCCAGTATTTAAGTTAAAATTATTTTGGATATTGCCATTATAAGCCTGAACAAAAACCATCCTTGTTTCAATAGCATGACATGGAAGCAACATCAGTCTAAATTAAATGGAGTTCACTGAAAAAGGGGTGCAGCTACACTTAAAACTCCAGATTGGAGGTACACCATAAGTTTAAACAAAGCTTTAAAAACGGGGGAAAAGGAAAATATGGTTCAAAACAGGAGGCAAAAGTTACAGCAAATATAAAACCATATTGTTTGGTGATCAAAATCCACATATAAGTCCATATCAAATATTTTATTGTGAGCTACACATTTATGAGAAACTGTATAAAACTTGACAACAATTGGCACCTGGCAATAGCAAAGAGTAAACACTCTTGAGACATTTTGTTGTCTAAACAAATTACTGTAATTTGTATCAAGTTCTACTACAAAATGTTCAAAATCTTTTGAGTGTGGAAAAAAAATTCCAACTAGCAAAGGAAGGCATGCAGTGCTTAGGCTACATTGATGAGAAGACTTTGTATGGCTGATCATTTGTCAAAAGTCTTGATTTTTGTACAATTACACCAAAATAGAACATTGATTGTTACCCTACTGATCAACCACAGAAATGTTACACGTGACCAAATCTGGGAAAGTAAACATGCTACTGAGACATTAACTTAGACATTAAACAAGCTCTTAAAATGCAATAAGCCTACAGTGAAACAAAATATACCAATGAGTCTTGTGCTCACGTTAAAACGGTTTTGAAACTTTGCATAAATTTGTCTTCCCAGATCTGGTCACGTGATATGTGGAAGAATCAGCAACTGTTGATCCTTTAAATTTGCTTCTATAAAAAACTGACGAGAGGTAAAAACTGCCACTTAAAATCAGTGCTTTTGAAAGATCTGGAAATGAAGGCATTCTGTTCCACAGATAGGCACATGTTTTTGTCTAATAGTTTCTGAATTGACTGATCTCTTTCTTGTTTTTCAATATCCAAAATTGTAGAAATGGTATAAAACATTTTCTTTTTGCCTTAAAAGAACAATGCAGCATACAGATAGTCAGTAAAAAAGGTGGGATACAAGAAGCTGAAAAATGGAAGGCATTGTTATTGGCATAGAAGTCTGGTTATCAGACTATCAAGGTCATGCATATACGACAAAGGAGAGCTGCCTCAGGAATTTCATGAATGCTCTGTAAAATTATTATTTTTTTTTCTTTCAAGATTTTTCCATTGTTGGAATTTGAATGAAGTGAGAACTCACAGTATCAAACGTATTGAATGCATCCAATCTTTCATAGTTGGCACAGCACGTAATAGCTTTCTTTTTTTTTTAAATAGAAGTGCACTACACCACAAAATTGAATGAAAACTGCGAAACTCAATTGAATTTGCGTGCAGTCCCTTAGTGAAATCCGTTTGACTCCATGGAATGTTGACATCAGAAGGCATACTAACAACATAAACAGTGTTTCACATTCGTTTGTTATTTTTCAAGGAACATGAGTTTCACGCTGTGTGGTGAGTTTCTAACTATCAATTCAAACCAAGGTGTGCCTGGTTTAAACACTCTCAGAGAATTTTCAATTTTTCCAGCGAGATGGATTTTCAGTACAGAGCTAATCGGAGTCCTGAAGCATGCTGGAAATACAGCCTTAACACCAAGACTACTGGTACGTTGACTGAGTAGGTATTTGAAAGTTTGGACGCCCACCCTGACACAGGTACATGTATGCTTGAATGGTAATGACACAAATTGTTACAATAAGGTTGTTCCGTTTACTGGTCATTTGTTACAGTGATTTTCGGCTGCCAATGCTCCATAATTGTAGGTAAAAATTGGAGCAATGGAGATGTTCCTTACAGCCAAATGTTTACTTTAGTGGTGTTCCTCGTTACTGCATTCTACTGTCGAACTCAGTCGAACTTGACTCTGTGTCCTAGTGCATATAGATCATTCTATAAATCGGGTTCACTTTTCCCCCTGTCCCATCTGACATCTGTGATTTTATAATTCTGATGAACTCCTATCCTTCCAGAGTGATTATGACTTGCAAACTACCTACCCAACAAATAAAAACATTGTCTGAAGTACAAATGTAGTTTTAATGATTCTTGAATGGCACATCACAAAGTATCAAGGAAACAGGGACAGGAAAGAATGTCAGACTATTGGCCCTAAATTTACAGAATGATCCAAGTACTTGGACATGTGTGGTATCCCTGTTTTGTGCACATACTTTTGAGACCCATAATCGAGAGCCTGAACAGTCGATCTAGCTAAACCGTTTCTTCCCAGACGTCCCACACCCCGTCTTCATCCTTGCTCCTCTTCCGCGACTTCTCGTGCCGTCCCGTGGCCGCTCCCGACGACGTCGCCGATGCTGACCCATCCTCGGGGCTTGGTCTCTTCATCTGTTTCTCTCCCTTCCCCTGACCCTCTGTTTTCCTCTTGCCTCCACCGACGACCCTCCCTCCGGGCTTCTTGCCCATGAGGAGATTCTCGTGAAGCTGGGTCAGCTGGTCCAAGTTGGAGTCCACGGGGACTCCCTGGAGCTGCAGGAGAGATTCCAGGAGATCCTTGTCTTCGATGGGAGAGGAGGGGATCAGATCAGGCTGGATTGAGCTGACCGGGTTGCTATTACTGTCACTAGTGGAAAACAGAGTTGTAGAGAGTCACTGATTTTTGTGACCTGAGTCGAGTCATTTTAAAGAAGTGACCCGAGTCGAGTTAAGTCATTTTAAAGAAATGGCTCGAGTCCAGTCATGAGGTTGAGTCGAGTCGAGTCGAGTCGAGTCGAGTCGAGTCAAGTCAAGTCAATATTTAGCTCGAGTCAATTCCAGTCATGAATATTTTAACACTATATAGGCTCTACCAACATTAATAAAAAAAAAAAAAAGGAGGGCATAAATTAAGCTGGCGTTAGAATCCAAGAGCTTTATAAAAAACACCCAAAGCCAATGATGAAACAACGAATTCAAAAAATGTGTTAAAATCCGGTTCCTGGATAGTATTTTGTGCGTTCTAAAACAATGAGGTGGGAGGCTGTGACACGTTGTATGTTTGTAAAAGAACATAAAAGTTGCACTGCTAGGTCATTGCAAATACTTTTCGCAAAGTTTTGATTTTATTTTTGGGACTTGAGTCTTATTAGCCTTCAATCAAGTCGAATCTTCTGATGAGGAACTCGAGTCGAGTCGAGTCGAGTCATTTACCCTTAGGGACTCAAGTCGAGTCGAGTCACTAAAACTGTGACTTGAGTCGGACTCAAATCGAGTCATTGACTCCAGTCATTGCAACTCTGGTGGAAACAAAACAGGTTAAATTGGAACCTTTTTAATTTCAACCATAAGGTTTATTCAAATACCCTGGAGTGATGTCGTGGATTAAACTACGGGGAACCTCTTCAAGCAAACATCAGAGGATAGTGTTGACTTTAACATTAGTAGGATGGGTTGCCATATTATCGTGGTGCTTATCACGTTTCTCGTTCAGATTAGAGATTGCCCACTAACATTCCCGAAGTGTCCTGTCTTTTGTGTAGTATAACTCTTCCTTTTCAAATTGATATAAAAAATCTGACGGTGGTGTGGTTTATTCCGTATAAGATGCCTGTGAAAATAGACATGCGCGGAGTGTGCAAATGGAGGTGGACTCCCTATTATCGCGGTATGTGGGAAGTGGTTTTTATAATCATCTCAACTTTTTTATTTATTGTTAATGTTTGACCAAAACATCCCCTGAACAAAGTCTGATATTTTCCCTGTAACGTTCAAGTTGATTAAAGACTATATGTCTGCAGGATGTCTTAAGACCCTGCCCTTCCCCTGAAAGGAGAACACAAATCACTGACTGAAGTCTGCTGATTGGCAATTGGGGGCACCATTCACTTTACACGGTGTGCCATTTTAGTTTTGTTACCGTGCTGTGCTTATTTTGATCCCGTAAAACTTTTTACGATTTCGCGGTGCAAATATCATCCTTTGACTTCATTTTACATTTGCAGCTGAAGAGTGGGAACCAGACAATGGAACTTTTATGGACAGAGCACCATTAAAGATTTATGTTAAAATACAGACGGTACCTTTTAGCAGACACGGTGAGGGAAAATTTGCAAGTTTTGGAAAACGTTCATATTTATTAAACATTGTTAAAAGTCCCGAAAGACACAAAGGAGTTTTGGCAACGCAAAAAGAGAAATTTCCCATGCCGCGATAATAGGGATGACGCGATAATAGGGATGACGCGATAATAGGGAGTCCGACTATACATAGCTGCCAACTTTTCAAAATCCCAATTAGTAATCAACCCGCGCGGTCATTTTCAACTGCTCGTTTTATCAAAAGCTTTACCAACATCTAGTACAGGTACATGGTTTACATGTACACATAAATGTGCATACCCTTCTCGTTGTGAATAATAATGTACTGTAGGCCAAAAGATAATTTAAAAAAAAATAAAAAATTATAAAAAAAAATCAATATTTTTTTTTTCAATTAAGTTTGTTTCAATGTCTGTATTTCTTTGTTGAAGTCAAATAAATTATAACAATAATAACATGCGCATATTTTTTTTGAGATGCATGCTATCGATGTGGAGTTTCGAGTTCGTATAAATGTTTTTACACACAATGATTTAGGGCCACCGTATGCAATAGAAATATCCCGCCAAATATACCTTGCAAACGCATGCTGATTTATCTTTTCTGGACGTTGTGACAAACTCAAACTCTATTACCAATTATTCCAACCATACTCTTATTAAATTCCATGATTAAAATCTCGCACTGATGGGTCTCATCCCGGCAATTAGCGACCAAATGTGCTCACGATCGTCACTGAAAAGTACTCACATACAGTACACACAACCACACATCCACGAGATGCACACAAATGACACACCATTGAAAAATAGTTTTAGTCTGGTCCTCAAGTACTCCACTGCGCACACTGCATTGATGTCTATCAGGTGCTTGACTGCATTCTTTTTAGACTTGTCACCAGTCCATCCATTATCGCGACATTCCGCCAGAAGTTTTCGGTCAAAAACGATACTTTTTTTTCTCGTTAGGTAGAAAATGGGAAATTCGTAACGTTTTAGTGGCAAATCGTATTTTCGTAATTTAACAAACAATTCGTAATAATTACGAAAATTTCGTAACAGTTGGCAGCTATGACTATACATAAGAAACATATGGTCATATGCCTTCTTTGCATAAATATTGTCTTGTACAGGCATGCCAGTCTAACTATTCTGCTGACTGTTAAGCAGGGCCATAAGAGTTGTCCCAGTTCCTTTTAATTCCCTGTTTCCATAATTACCTGGTCATTTTAGCCTGCAGTTTTGGGACGCGTCTTGGTATCATCGATCTTGTGCTGCGATGCATATCTGTAACAAAAATAATAATAATGATTATGAATATGGACCATGAATAATTCATAGTAAGTAGGCTTTTAAAAGCATCTAAGGCATTAGCATACATTTTCTTCAAGCATATGACAGAACGTGTCATATGCATGCATATGACAGAACGTGTCTAACTGAAATGAAATATGATCCTCCTGACCTCCTGTACAAAAGCTACTTTTCTGCTTATTTGCATCACCTACCAGAGGTATGCTGATATCAGTTTTCAAATAATCCCACAAAGGCTCCCCATTCTCAAAAACATCCACACAATTTTACTTTGATTTGATATCTGAGGCTTATATGTACACAATTCTGAAGCCAATTATGAACCAAATGCGGTGACAAGCCAAGGTTTTGAAAATCCTCGCACTTTCAACTGTGAAATGCAACAGCTGTCAATTACCTTGAAAACTAATTTACAGGCACTGAACCCCATCAAGCAAGCTTATAATTGCATGCGACCAGACCCTTGCCGATGTGTCAGTGTTCCAACTACAGATGTCCATCTAATTTTGAGAATTGCATTGTTTCATATTCATATTCATAGTTTGTTAGACCAATTCGCAGCTGGATGCTGAATTGCATGGTTATTACAAGGAAATAAAAAAAAAACACTAGAAGATTAAACAAGAAAATTAAACAAGAAAAATTTGAATTTAAAATAAATAAGAATTACAGAACTATATATATCTACAGTGTAAATATTAATCTAAAAACACACAAAAGGGGACATAAAATTATTATTGTTATTATTGCTGCTTGTTGAAGTAATCACGTCACCTTGGCCCACACAACAAAAGTTTGAAAATACGATATGTGAAATGCATCTGTGTGTCCCATTTGCTTTGATTTTAAGCCTTTATTATATCATCATTTTTGAGACCTTTTTCTTTAATGCTTGTGCGATCGAATTTCCACAAGAATCACTTTTGAGGTTCATAATTCCTACAGAAACTTTCTTGAAAATGGCACCGTGGCAACGCAACCTTGGTTGTCAGTACACGGTTAAACTGTTTAAAATGATGAAATATAACTTGTGCATAAAAGGATACTTCAGTATAAAATTAACTTGATGGCCTGTTAATATAGCAATGAGTGTGACTCATTAAACAGTGATAATTACGGCTCCTTTTCCATTAGGCCCCCCCAAAAAAATACTCGGTCTCTGGTCAGACCAAAGTTCAGGAATTGATGCGGCGACGCAGCTTTTTTTTTTTCCAAGCTTGGATTGTACAGACAAGGTGGGGTACTATTTTGCTTTTTTTTGGTGTCCTCATGAACATTGGTGTCCTCCATAATTTGCCTTGGTGCCCTCGATCATTTGCCTTGGTGCAATTTCCAATTCCTTGGTGCTCTTTGGTAGGAAACAAAATTTGAGGAGGTGCGGCAATACAGGGCGCTGCTGGAGCTACCGCGGAACATTTTGGGAAAAAACAGATTAATGCGCATGATTAAAATCGACGCTCGCACTGACCAGAGACTGACTATTTTTTTTTTTTTTTGGCCTTAACAAACCCCAAGGTTGCAATTTATGGCCCACTACAACGAAAACGAAAAAGTAAAACACACATGCGTAGTGCGCACTCAAGTCCACTCGGGTTTTACTTTGTGGTGTTTGTTGACAATATTTATGAATCAATAACCAAGCCTCTACCTGGTTACATGTACCTACAATGATTATATTTCACCATTTCAGGGACGCTTTTGTTAACCATTAATACAAAAACTTTCACGTCTGAGAGCCTATTGCATGGACCTATAAATTCAAGTTGCATGTGCTTGTGCCCTTGGTATTTTAAAGTTATGAATATATCTACATGTACGCACAATGAGCACTTTGTACATAATCTTATCACAGCAAATTCTGGCTCGCACCAGATATGAGCCTATAAGGCTTATCCTGCACTGAGTTATTCTGATGCATGTGCAGCCAAGCATGACCAACAGCAGCTATCTGTTGATAGCAAGGGGTTAAATGATTAATAATGAATATATTCACATTTCACTTCAGCATCATAAATACTTAATGAACTGACGACTGACACACCTTTTATCATGTTCATAGTCAGCAACAAGACTTCTGAAAAGCAACAGCTGAAGCTCTTCTGCTGCCAAGCACCTAAGGATCTAAGTCGCTTACTCGACTTGTGTCAATGGTGTAGAACTTGGCTAAAATAAAACTGAGTTGTCTTGACCCTGTAGCTGTACAGACTATCGAGCATGGGAGCCGGTATAACGTCAGGCGAGTGCAGTGAACAAGATACTGTCAATATCAGTCGGGAGGAGGTCTCTGCCTGGCTTTATACTCCCGTAGACGTCTACATGTCAACCGTCGTTATGCCCATAATCTGGTCCCTCTGTCTCATCATCAATTCCACTTTTCTTTTCATCATGTTCCGCGTCCCCAAACTCCGATCTGATACCAACATATACTTGGCACACGTGGCAGTTTCCGATCTCCTCTACACGACTTTTGCTTTTGGATTTCGGATCTGGGGTTACCTGGCCTCCCCCGTCGCACACCATGTACCCTTCCGGCACATTGCTAGCTGCATTGTATTTTCCGGAACGATCAACACGGTTTACCAATCATCCATTATACTGGTTACTGCGGTGACGTTTGAGAGGTATCTGGCCCTGTGCCATCCCATCAAACATCTTGGAATCCGTGGTCGGAAACGCACCAATAGGATGATAGCCCTCTGCTGGTTGTTGTCAGTGGTACTTGCACTGGTAATCCTCCCCACCGCCATCGGTTTTCAAGTCCGATGTCTGCGCTGGCCCGACGACGATACCTACCTGGATTATCCATCAAGCCATGCGTACTGCACATCTGCAGGACCCTGGGCAATTGCTTATGTTGTACCCATCGTCAACCTCTTGTGGCTCATTCTGTTGCTGGCCAACATTTACATGTACGTGCGCATCATTCGCACACTCAATCAACGCACTGGCAAAGGCGGGATGGTCAACAATGACCAGAATGCCTTACAAGTCCGAAACCAAGTGGCCAAGATGCTGATTGTCAACGGCGTGGTGTTCTTCTTGTGCCAGACGCCGTATCGTATCTTCAGTTACTCCAGATGGATCACTTCACTGGCTGGCATTCCTGATCCTCTGGCCACCCTGGATAACGCCAACTGGATCGGTGGAATTCCTCAGTACATCAATACATTAGTTAATCCCCTAATCTATTGCGCCCTCAATACGCAATTCAGACAGGCATTCAGAGAGGCTTTTGGGTGCAAAAATTGTTCCACATTCTCTGCCAAGTCCCATTCAGCATCTCATGGAAACGATAAGAGCAAATCTACAACAACCACAAGTCTGTAAACACTCAGCATTTTTTTCTCTCTGTAAATATGTTGAGGTAAATCATAAGCCAAATTTACTGTTTGCGAGTAAAATTTACATTCAGCGAAAGACGATTGCTACATTTCCATCTTTGATCTTATTTAAATTGTGAGCATATTCTTTTATTTTGAGACATTTCAGGGGTTTCCGAAGATGGTGCTCCCTCCTAAGTTGCTTTTAAAGGGAAAATACAACATTTGCAAACATCAAAAAATAAAACTACCAAATCATTTTGAAATACCTTGCTGGACTGTTAGTGAATGACAGTGTAAAGCATCCTGTAAAATCATGGCACCTGGTATACTGTCATTTTCAAGAAAAGTGGCATTTTTGTATCAATTTCCAACGCTGATCGGCCGATCAGCGTTGGAAATAACTGGCTTTTTTTCCAAATACTGGCCCCAATTGACCATTGCACTTGTTTGCAATCGATTACAAACCTATGAACGGGTACGAGCCAGCTAGACTGGTTCCCTGACCTTACAATTCCCCAATGTAGGTAAACTGCTCTGTTTCTTCTTATATGGAGTCAGGGAACCAGACTACAAGAAAATGATTGTTTTTCTTGGTTTTTATAGCATTTTCGAACCCAAAACCTCAAAAAAGTCAGTGTAACTAAATTTGCTATATATTTCCAACCCCCCAATTCCATCCATTTCTGAAAATTACAGTAAAAGCAAATGATGTATATTCCCTTTAAAGGTCTGTCTTGTAAATTCTCCCTCTGAGTGTATCTTTGTATAACTATCATCATTAATCATTCACTATTGTGTATTTGCTGTATATGGAAAAAAATGTCTATTTGAATTGAATTGATTTGAACAATATTTTAAATGTATTAATATATTTTCACCTACATGTAATAAAGCATCTGAATGTTACATTGTTTTCTTGTGTAAAGCGTTGTGATACCAGTTTGTGTAAGAACGCTATATAAGTGCCCTGATTATTATTATAATATATTATTATTATTATTGGTTGTGGCTTTTTATAAAATCTGTGCAGATACATGTATGAGTTTTAGTAACGCGATTCACAGAGTGATATTTCACAAAATGCGCTGATAATGTTGGTGTATGGCACTCATCACACATTATGCTTACATGTATCTTACTGGAGTCTTAAGACAAGTACAAGTATTTGGTATTATTCAGATGCACACAACTGTCAAAGTGTTTATAGTTTGAGCAATTTTGTGCCACCAGTTTCACGGTAAATTGGATGTTTGCGAACTTAATGCAGATTATATAAGATCTCAAAAAATGACCCACCTTAGTTTTGAAATGTTGAAATGATATGCGTCTTTTTGTTTGATGTTTCAGTAAAAGTTACATATGTGTAACATAAATTAACCGTGCACGGCTTTTGCAAAAAAACAAGGTACCTAATACAGGCATGTTACTGGGAAGTCACACAAAAAAGAGGAAATTCAAATTTTTCCAAGACTTTGTACAGTGTTTTTCTATTTTCAATGGCACACTTGGGAAGTACAAAAAGAGGAAATCAGCTGATCCGAGGAAAAGTTGCATGCTTGCTAATACCCTCTTCATAAAAGACTGTTACCGGTACTTCGTCTTGTTGCTAAGCAACAAAGTGTGCTCTTTGGTGTTCTGGCCAATTAAAGA